GGTTTCCAGATAGGATCAGTAGCATATCCTTGGCGAATCTGGTCTTTCAGGTCATTCCCAACATCCAAGTAAGAGACAATTGCACCAAAGAAATCACTTCGTCTGGACCATGCATCTGCAACCATATTAGACTTTCCTTTGATTGTTTTCAACTCAAAATCGAAGTATCAATGAATGTAGACCATCGAACCAGTTTATCAGAGAGCCTCGGTTGTGTTTTTATCCACTTCAGGGCAGAGTGGTCTGAGTACACTATGAAGTGTCTCCCTAACAAGTAGTGCTTCCACGTGTTTAGTGCATAGACTAAGGCATACAACTCCCTTTCATAGGTGGAGTTGGCGACCTTTTCAGACGGGAGTCGCGCATACATAAACTCTATGGGCTTATAGCCCTTGCCGTCATCTTGCTGTAGAACAGTGCCAATCCCATACTAACTTGCATCAGTAGTAACGATGAAAGGCAAAGACGGACAACAATCTTAAGGACGGGGTAACGAGTCAGGGCATACTTCAATTTCCGAAAGGAAGACTCACAATCCTTGTTCCACAACCAGACAATTTCTTTCTTTAACAATCGTCGCATTGGTGCAGCAATCAATGAGAAGTTTCTAAAAAACTTCCTGTAATAACTGGCTAAACCAAGGAAAGATCGCAATTCCGGTATAGACTTAGGTTGTGGCCAATCTCTAATTGCTGAAATCTTCTTCTCTTCTGGCCGTATACCTTCCTCGTTCACTCTGCGTCCTAAGTATAAGACTTCGGACTTAGCAAACTCAGATTTCTTGGGATTGATCTTGAAGCTGCCTTCACGCAACTTCCCTAGCACCAGACGAAGGTGCTTCTCGTGATCTTCTAGTGTCTTGTTGTACATTAGAATATCATCAAGATAGACAATGACGAACTTATCTAACCATTGACGAAAGAGTTCATTCATAGACCTTTGAAAGGTCGCAGGGGCATTAGTCAGCCCGAAGGGCATTACCATAAACTCGTAATGGCCATACCTAGTTCGGAACGCAGTCTTATGTTGATCCGTAGGCTCCACCTCGATCTGGTGGTATCCAGGCTTCAGATCAATCTTACTGAAGAACTTGCAGCCCTGCAACTGGTCCAACAAGTCGCCAATACGTGGTAGAGGTTCGACATTCTTAACAGTGACGACATTCAACCCTCTGTAATCAATACAAAGACGCAACTCACCTTCCTTTTTGGGCACAAATAAGACAGGGGCACCATAAGGAGAGGAGCTTGGGCGAATCCATCCTTTTTCTGTTAAGTTCTGCAGTTGTTTTCTTAGTTCCTCAAATTTTCTAGGACACATTCGATAGATAGGGCCCTTGGGAATCTTATTGCTCGAAATAATTTTGATTGTGTGCTTGATAGCATATTGAGTTATTCCTGTCGGTTCGGAAAACAAGTCTTTATACTCGCGAAGGAGTTTTTCGGTTGAATGAGGATAGGAAGTAGAGGACTCACCTGCTCGTTTTACTAAGACCATCATTACTTCCTGTTCCAACCTTCTCTTTGAAACCATCGAACGAAATGCTGGGTAACTCATACAACAAAAAGAAAGACTAGAGTCAGACCTAGACTTATGAAACAATTTGATAGGTTTCAATTCAGATTGTGCGTCTCGCAAGTGCACGATCTTCTCTTTGAACTTACTGTCTGGGTTGGCTTCCTCGTGCCAATCCATTCCCAGAATCAAGTCAAACGGTAGGCTCTTTTCGATCAGGAAGGATACCTCATGCAAAATCTTCTTACCTTCCCTTGTTTGAAACCAACACTTGACACGATCAACATACTGCGAGACAGCGATCGTCCTTTTGTCATCAAGAGCAGACGTGATAGGTCTAGTCAGGTTTTTCACCTTCATTTCAAGATGCAAGTTACGGATTGCCTTCTCGGATATATAGGATCGCGTAGATCCCGAGTCCAACAGTGCACCTACTCATATACGTGCGATGTCTATATCTGCGAGTAGTAAGTCACCCTTAGACTTTGATTTCTTAGCCCACGAGCTTCGTAATGCCAGCAACTCGTTACCAAGCTCGTCAAGAGAGTCGTCCAGAGAGACTGTGCATACGACAGGTTTAGGATCATCTGGACGATGAACCCAAAAAAAACCATCCTGTGCCGTGCGAGTTGGGTTAGAAGGGATTGTAGGCGCCTTACCTTCTTTGTCCAAACCCTTTAACTCAGTAGGAGCAAATGCTACTCCCCCTGGCAGCCCGGTTTTGGGTATCGAATCTGTGGGCACCATGCAACCACATGCCCTGCGATGCCATACTTAAGATATTGTGCATTCTTAATTCTTTCTTGCCATAATTCTTATGATATCCCCCCCCATCCTTTCCCACGGCTTCCCGACCGTAATTCCGGGATGCTCAGGGAACGAGCGTGGTTTCTTTTTCTTTCCTGGCGGTCGTGGTCCTCCCTTGGTGACCACTGCGGCAGTGACTTCCCCCTTCCCGGACTCACTGCTGCTTGTCACGCCCTCGGCCTCCAATGGCCACTTCTCCACAGTATCGTCATCAAAGACGACGAGGGTGTGGCCCTGGCGTTTTTGGCGCTAGAGTACCAACTTTCCTACACCTGCACTTCCACCTCCACCATACTTCACCACATAAGCATACAAATTCTTTACCTGTGAAGTCATTTGCTCTCGTTGGAGAGCCAGATCGCGAAACTGCCTGTGGTTGTACTTGCCGGATTTAGAATTTGCCACGAGCTATCCACGAATAGGCTCGGGCAGAGTGCAGGAATAGATATAAAGGACTTGGTTGTCTTGTAGGTTCAATCCATGAACCTGCAACAACCGATCTACTTCCCGAGACAGGGATTCTACCGAGGTCCAATGTCTTTGGCCAATGGTAGTAAGTTGGTCAAAGGCCTTGTCGGCCGTTGTTTTGTCCAGGAAGCGTTCCTTGATCTTTTCAGGGAACTGCTTCACATTCATGGTTCCAACCCATCCCCAATGTCCTCGAACCCCACTGCGTTGGCTTCTGCCAATACCCATTCTTTTGCTTCCCCACCAAGTCACGAAGTAGAGAACGCAACTTGAGAGTCAAGTTCGACAGGAGACGTTTTACAGTGAGTCTGAATCTCGACAATCCATAGCAACAAGTTTTCATCCTTCTTGTTACAGAAGGTAAAAGGCATTTTCATCTTTACTTTCTTCCTCTTCTTTGGCTTTTCACGTTCCGCAGTTACCTTATCCTTAGGAGGAGGAGACTTCGGAGGTGGAGAGGAAGGAGGGGAGCTTGGTGAAGAAGACGGCGGACCCGAAGGCTCCCCTTTCTTTGTTTCTAATTTCTCTTGCGTCTTCTCTGGTTCTACCTTGAGAGACTTCATGGCGTCTCCCATGGGTTTCTCTGTTTTTTCAGTCTTTTCTTCCTTGACTTGTTCCTTTCCCTTGACCAAATTCGCGGCTGTTCGGAGTCTTGAGGCCACGTCATCAATTTGGGACAGCATCCGCTCGCCAAACTGATCTATTTTCATTTCCAAGTGGGCAAGGTAATTCACAAGCTGGGCCGAAGAAATTGCCTGTTCTTCCCCTTCAATGTGAATGACAGTTTGTCTAACTTTTTCCACTTTTTGTTCTTGCTGTACATTTCTTTCTTTACGCCTTCTCATTTCTTGTTTCCTCTGCTTTTCTTTCTCAACTGCTGCTTCCAATTGTCGGATGTTCTCATCCACGGTTTCTTCAGTCACCTCAACTTCTTTCTCTTCCTTCTGTTCTGAGATCTTTGCAAGTTGTTCCACAATAATCTTTTCACTTGATGAGTTCATTCTGAAGCAACATGAATTGCTTTCAAATCAAACTGGGCACGGACTTGTGCCTCTACTTCAGCACCAGCGTCATGGAGTTCAGATATTCGTTGATCCAAACGACCAATCAAGATCTTTTTGGCTCTTCAACTTGCTGTCTGGTTCGGGGGTCAGAAGTCCCCTCGTCAATAGCGAAAGTGAGTGAGACTAAGAAGAAAAAGAAAGGAATGAAACAAGTGAGAACCGACAATTTCAGACAATTTCATAAATGAGACATTGTGATGTGCGTCTGCCTGCAATCAGACTCGTTCTCAAACACACTTTTCATGCATGTAAACAGCAACGCAGCATACTGGCAACATGCGCCCACTCAAAACTCGGAGATATGGCTTTCAGATACGAGTTCACTCTCAATTGGCTATGGCGACTTCAGCGCC